TAACATATCCAACAAAGTTTTTGAGCAAAATATTTTAAATCTCTAGATTTTTACGTAAAACAGAACAACATTTTACAAATTTCTGCAAAAAGCACCAATAGTCCATTAAATTTGTGCGTGCCGTAATGTCTGAAACAATCATCATTTTTTAAATGTTCTTGTTTGTTGAGTTACAAAGTAAGGATATAATCAAGCAAAATAACATGTAGAAATTTTAACTGAAACATGAAAAAACTGAAATGTAATACCATTACCGCGATTTAAATGATGACATACTGTTTTCAAAATGGCCCACATATGGTCTACGTTTGGTCCATTAAAATTATTTTGACTGAACATAATTATTGTTATTTCCTTGTGCCATACAGCAGAAAATACTTATACAGTACGCTCAGCGCGGCTTTTTCAAAACCCGCGTGACCCCGCGGATGAGGTTTACCGCGGACGAAAATTTGCTCAGATATTGTCCGCGTGATCCCGCGAACAGAAAATCTTCACCACCGCGGACACAAATCGGCGGCTGAAACCGTTTCCCCCGCGGAACGCAGTGGTAAATTGCGGAGGAACGCGGCGGTCAAACACCGGTCAACGCGGTGGAAACCTTAAATTTAAAAAAAATAATTACTGTATTTAAACATCAGTATACATACGTACATGTACTGTAACATGTACTGTACATATACATGTAACTATATGTAAAATTTGTTTGTTTTCTTTCTTTTTTGTTGTAATAAAAGTACATGTACAAATGCAGTGTTTTTCTTGTTCTTCTTGTTCTTCTTCTTGTTATTGTGTTGGGTAATGTATAATATGTATTCGACATCAAGATAAATCATTGTCGTCGCAACTTCGTGGTAGTGAGAAACTTGAAGTCAAATAATGAAAAATTCGGCATATGACATTTATGAAAAAGATACTACAACAATTTATATGCCAGCTTTTGTTTCTTATTTAAAAACTTTGAAAACGTAACCCTCAACAATTTTATTCAGGCAATATTCCAGGACGTCTCTTTCAATTGTCAGATGCGTTTTACTGTTTCTGTTTATTTGCATGTTGATCATAAAGTCTTATATTTTATTTGGAACATAAAAAGAAAGCGTTTATTTCACCAAAATATAAATTAAATGATGTTCTTGATTTATCTAATTACAGGTGTGAGCGTAATGTATATGTTTTGAAGTTTGTATCAACTGTTGAAGTTTATTTTCATTTTTGTTTAAGTAGGTTGTTTGCTTGTTCTTTTTTATTTTTATAGATTTTTTTTTGCAGAATTTTGTTAAACTTGACGTTATACTTTTGTTATTTTATTATGAACAGTATGCATGTACATACATGTATATAAGGCAAACAAGCACATGGCAGTTATTTTCTAAGAACTTCCATCAACCGATTTTCAAGTTAAAAATATTTCATTTTATTTTTATCTTAAGATATTATTGTTCATAGGAATAATAGTATTTGTAGACAACATGTAGTTTTAAGTACATACAATTGAACGTAATTGTCTTTGCTTTCTTGTATTTATTATATTAAGTTTTCATTGAAATTAATTCCGAGGATAATAATGTAATTTTATAATTTGTAAAAGGCAGCCTAATTATTATTAATATATGTACATGTATTTTATTTATTTCCTGTCTTGTATTCACACTCATCGACCTCTTACAGGACATGTACTGTAGCGTCAGTCATCATTGAGAAATCAGCACAAATGTCCTGTTTTTACTAAGTATCATATTTATGGCTCCCATATAGTTTACCAGCAATAATACTTATAGAACCACAAGGAATGAACAAGTAAAGATGACAGTGATAAATGACGATTTCAGTTGTAAAAATATTGGTATGTGGACGAATAGTTTTGTGGACGTTTATAACAAAAATATTAAAAACAACAACAAAAACAGGTACAGCTGTAATTATTTTTATTTCAAATTCCGTTCAAATAATTTAACGTATAATAACATTTAAGGAGACGATTGTGGTCAATTTTCAAGTCATTGTGTAAAAAAGATGACGTTAAAAAATAATAAAGGGTCTATTATTTTTGGAGGTTAATTTATACTGACCAACTGACCATGGCGTTCCCCCGCGGGAAACGGGTGACTGATTTTATCGATAAATGAAGAACGGTTGTCAGAATTTTGTCCGCGGTGCAAACAACTGAACACCGGGGATCGCGGGGAAATTAGGCTTCTCATCGCGGACGAACCCCCGCGTTTGTCCGCGATAAAAAAATATCATCCGCGGTGGTATCGCAGAAAAAGCAAAACCCGCGGTGAGCGTACTGTATGTTATAGCTTATGACAATTTCTGTACCATAAGTTTCATTTGTTGTTTTCTTTCTGGTTTGAAAGCGTTAAGTACCGTAAACTAAGAGGAAGAGGAGCAAAATATACATTTATCTGGAAAAAATATTGTCAGTCCCTTCATGTCAAACAACCTCAGTGGAGTCCCTTAATGGTCACATTATTATAATTTCAAGTTTTTGCTTTAATTGATTATAACTTTGTAAGTAGTCACTAGTGGATGGATTGTCTCCATACTTTGGCACAACGATCCTTGGGACAAGGCGTTAAAAAAAGGAAAGCTGTCCAGCTAGCTTACAAATTGTTTTTGGTTCTACTCAGGTGAAATAATGACAAGAGAGGGCACCTTAGTAGAGCGCAGGTTACAATTTGTCTCTAGTTTTAAGTAAAGAATATTCTAAAAATCATTGATAATGTTTGTTGTCATGCTTATTTTTATGTCCCAGAAGGACGGCATATTAAAATCACACTGTCCGTCTGTGCATCCCCACTTCATTCCTGTCCGGACTGCAACTTTGTCATACATTTAGGCATTTTGAAATAGCTTGGCACAAAATTTAATGTCTTCCACATCAAGAATGATGATGTGTCACATCCAAGAACCACGTCCCTACCTCAAAGGTCAAGGTCACACTAACATTTTGAAGTTTCACTTTAGATAAGTGAATGCAAGTAATCACTGTCTAGGATGGCATTTTCAAATATTTAAGCACTATAACAGTGAAGAAGCCCTTATTTTCAAAGATTTTAGAGTTTTTTATTCAATATTTTCATTTTGTAACTTTTATTTGGGAATTATTTCCTGTGGATTGGGAAAATAATATACAATTTTTAATTGGGAATATGACTGAATATCGGCTATAAAACAACCCCAAAAAAATCCCAGGAAGTATTATATGTATATTATATTTATTTAAATGATTTTCAGTTGATGTACAGCTTCACCAACCTCTATTGTCAAGCAGCACTACCCCAGATGATGTCAGACTAGAAATGATGTCACTTTGCTTTCAGTTAGAAACTCTTTGTAAGAAAGAACTCACAGAGGTATGTACATTAAAGGGGTTTTACAAATTTTATTTACAAAATTATTGTAATATCTTTTGATTAAAAAATTGTGTGTAATTTTTAAAGGGATACCAAGGCAAAATTAACATTTCTTCATTCATTTTTCTGTGATTTGAATACACAAGATCATTTAACTATTTTTGCCATTAATTTGCCTGAGTATCCCTTTAAAGTACTAAAATATATGCATTGAATTTTTCTTGCAGTTATTTCTTTTGTTTGTATTATTAAAAGGTCAATGTTGACATTTAAGATACCTATAATTCTTTTGTCATTTGTGTTGACTAATAAGAATCAAGAATCAATTAGTTTCTGTATGAATCTTGTTTCATGTGTCATGTTTATAATTATGCACTTATTAGCTGGACTATTCGATAAGAATAAGAAGAGCTATTGTAGTCACCCGAGCGTCTGCATCCGCGTCGGCGTATCCTTATGTTAAAGTTTTTGTAATACCTCAAATATTTTCAAAGTCCATTGACTTATGGCTTTGAAACTTTGCACACTTGTTCACCATCATGACCCCAACCTGTAGACAGGAGGAGGTAACTCTATCAAGCATTTTGACAGAATTATGCCCCTTTTTCGACTTAGAATTTACGTTAAAGTTTTTGTAATACCTCAAATATTTTTAAAGTCCATTGACATAAGGCTTTGAAACATGTTGAAATTTTATACTCTTCTTTGAGAGCATACTAGTACTCTCTCCAAGGCCTATAACTGTAATATGGATTTATAGAAAAATTTTGCCTTTTTCTTTACTGAGAAAATTTTACCTTTTAATCAAGGCTTTTTTTACTATCAAGCACTAAGAATAGTCGAGCGTTGCTGTCCTACCGACAGCTCTTGTTTTATATTGTAATTTTTTTACCTGAAAATGCCAATGATTGGAAAATAAATCTGCTCTGTTCCACGTCATAACTGAAACCCATATGACTGCCTCCAAGACAGATTAACCCATTTACATACAGAACTCTTTGTTGATATGGTTATTTAGGGCTAAAACAGTTACTCGAATAAGTCAGTGATTTTTTCCAATTTTCAAAACAACCTGTGACTTTCTGAAGGGGAAAATATAGGGTGATAAATCAGAAAAGGGGGAAAATCGGAAATCCAATTTCAACAGCTGAAACACATTTTACAAAATTTTTATTTTCAATTCAATTTAACATGCATGGTGCATAGCAGCAGCAATCTAAAGGGATAGCTGTCTGTCTTCTAGCTGATATAAGTCAGATGCTTCTGGTAAGGAAGAGCACAAGGCATTTTAGGGGAAAATATAAGCATTTTTAGCGGAAAATAAACCTATTTTGGGATAAGCGAAACAGCTTTTATTCTACTGAAAAATACAGTGAAAAAATCACTGTAAGTGGATATTTCCGATTTAGACCTTGATCTTGTGCAATTATTTAAAAATGCAACATTTTATTTTTGCCAAAGTAATGCTCAGGAATTTCTTGTCCCCTCTCTATTAAATAGTGTGTCACCAAAACCCAAACGGACTGAGTGACACAGTTGAACCTGAAAATTGGAAATTTTATGTCTAGTTATAATCTAAGTGAGGACTTATAATATTGCATATTAAATATACAGTCAATGAAGCCACTTTGTAACTATTATATGGAGGATATTTGTTTAGTTCAGTGTAAGATCGGAATATATATCACCGAGTGAGCACCAAAAGGTATATTCCACGAGTGGCGCAGCCACGAGTGAAATGTGAACTTTTGGTATTCATGAGGTGAAATACAAATTTTCTTTTTATTATGTGCAAATAAATGTTTAAAAAGACAATTTAATCTAATACTAAATGAAAAGTGTGCCAAATAATTATACAATGTGATGTCACCTCATTATGTTGGTTTCCAGTTCTATACATGCTGGGTTTCGATGAAAAAACGTAATGGGCTTAAATTCAAAACAGTGAAAAATATCAAATTGATAATTTCACTGTTTCAAACAGTGAAATAACAGTTTTATATTTCACTGATATATTTCTATAAACCACTGAAAAGCATGTAATAATTTTTATTTTTTTTTAAATATTTCTATATACATCAAACAATATCTTTGATAAACGTATACAATGACCAAATATAGTTATGTCTATCTGTAGAAATCTTGTAGAGATATTGACAAATCAATTATACTATATTGATGAAACCTTTCCTGATAATGTAACTGAAACCTTCCCTTAAAATTTTATTGGCAGAAAAATAAAATTTAGTTTTCAGTTTGAGGGAATACATGTATTTCTCATTAGTGAATGGCGTCAGCAAGCAAATGTGATAATTTATATTTGATTTTGTTTACGTCTGTAAGAAGACACGTTTATATACACATGTAATTGTTTATGTTCTTCCATGTGAATTAAGAACAGTTGAAATATATGATGTCTTGCTTGGGCCAGTTATAGGACACATTTTTTTCTTTTCTAAAAATCTTGTGTCGAACTTCTGTTTTTTTTATGGAGAAAGTTGTTAGATTTAAATTCTCAAATGGAACTTTTGGCGTCATTTAACATTGAATTTATCACATGTTTAGCTTAATCCTTGTGAAAATGAAAATGCTTTTTTCTTTTGAGAACTTTAATATCTACACAGTACCAGTGACTATAATAAAAGCTCTCCATTAAAGAATGTGATAATATATAAAGCTACTTATCTATTAACAAGGGCAGTAAGCTCGACTTTTCTCAGTGCTTGATAGTAAAACAAGGGCCTGGGTATATGTAGAATTTTCCAAGTGGCCAATTTGGTTCTGTCAACATCTATAATAGAGTAAAGAGCCTTGGATATTGGTAGTCCTTTTACGTTTTGTAAGTCTAATTGAGCTCCATAATTTAAAACCCAATGTAAATTTAAGTATTTAAAGCTACATTTCTGCTGTCTTTAATTTACAAAGTTACTAGGGGCGTGTCGTTGTGATTGTTGATTTCAAACCACTTGCCTCTCACCGCTATAAGATAGAGTCACGCAATTGTTTTAAATGGATTCATGCATGTGAAAAAGCTATCCAACTATCTTAAGGACTGTCTGTGGTTCTACTTATGTGCCCATTTGTTCCTGAAATAATGCACAGATCAGGGGCACCTGACGTCTTCCTTCACCAGTACCTGAGTAGACTGACTGTTCTCATCAATGTCACGTGTATACATACGCATGATATAACAACAGGACAATAACTGGGTGATTAGTCTAGCTAACAAATGAACAAATTCATTAAATATCAATCAAATTACTTCTACATATTTAATTGAAGGTATAATAAAGTGAAAATTACATGAATGTGATAATTCAGGTCTTGTGAGAATACAACCCAATCAACTCGAGCGATACTAACCATCAGAATAGCTTTTAGCAAATTCATGTAATATTAGCTAATATTCCATTGAAAAGAGGGATGAATTTAACTTTATATATAAAGTAAAATTCATTGTGATACTTTTCTGATTTCAGAATTCAAGCATTCATCAAGGTCATGTTAGTAACTCATTCATTGACAGAGGTGAGCTTTGTTTTATATGTTGATAGAATTTTGTTTGTGTTGAAACACTCAAGGAGTCTCTGGGTATGACACTAGATTTTGTTCAATTATTTTTACCTTTTTCTCCTTGTCCTCCTGTTTTAGTCAGTAGGACCTTGTTCATAATGTGTAAGGCAAACTGAAAAAAAAATGCTGAATTTAGCTTAGTTGCTATGGCAAGCAAATAAATAGTAATTAATCGCCCAATGTGTTCTTGTTTCTGATTAAGCACAAAAATATGAACTTTTACTGAAATTTTGATGAATTTCTGACACACTGGGCAATTTTTCACTCTAGTGAATCTAGCCCTTTGTCTTTTATAATCGATTCAAACTTAGAGTTCAATTGTCAATTTTGTATCTCATTGCTGATTTAAAACTCATGAATGATAAGTGGACTGTCTCTTGGTAACAATTGGTTTATTATACTGACTATTTATCTAAGAAAGCAAGTTATCACCATAATTAGTGGTCTGTTTAAGTTTATATAGACTTACATAGTTAAACACATTTAGTTAAGTTTTTTCTTTGAATTTACAATACCAGAGCTTTAATATTTGTTAAGAAGCATTAATGCATTTTCATAGCAAGGGTCATTATGGCCCTCTTGTTGTTCAAAAATGTTCATTGTATTTCTAATAGTGCAAAGTTAATTTCAATATCCCTTTCTGAGATTTTTTTTTATGGTACAACCACAGAAAAAAGGGAAAATTAGGTTAACTGTATGGAACAGAATTAATGCATTTATTCTATCTTGCTTGATGACATTGGAACTTGCATTATGCTTAATTCCATCTTGCTTGATGACATTGGAACTTGCATTATGCTTGATTCCATCTTGCTTGATGACATTGGAACTTGCATTATGCTTAATTCCATCTTGCTACATGACATTAGAACTTGCATTATGATTGATTCCATCTTGCTTTATGATATTTAAACGTTGCATTATTCTGGATTCCACTTTTCATTATTTCATTCAAACATTTCGTAGTGACCAATGCTTTCATTGAGTGATAACTATTAAACTGGAACGAGCCATTTGGAATACTAAAATGTTAACGTCATATACCGTTATGTATAAGCTACCTTTCTTCATGCTCTATACAAACCATTTACGGTTTAGTTTTTCTTGTATTACTTTTATGTAGAAGTCATTTAAAATTGACTATTTTTTTGTTCCCTGATGGATTTTGTTAAAATGTGACTTATTTGATTTACAGCTCGCATGGCGTGATTACTATTAGCTTTCGCTTATATCCATTATTCAGTGTTTATGCTTAATAAAGCTCGGTGTCTGAGGCTTTGTGGATTATAATATGTTCGATCATCTTACATTATGATAAACAATTTAAACAATGTCTAGCGATTTGTGAACTGTTAAGGGGCGAGAACTCTGTTATCGATATCAACGGATTTTTCCATGATTCGCCTATCATCGGAATTTTCCGTACATGTATATATTACGGAATACCGTTTGGGCCATCGTGGTTATACGTTAAAATACAGAGGGCGACAATGCTATAAATACGTACCAAGCGCTTAATTCATAAATTGCAGTGGAAAGAATATAAATACAGGTAGTAAGGATTATGCAATATAATTTTATACATGTATATGTATACAGTCTAATAGAAAAAATATGCTCGTAAACAGTTATTCAATGGGGCAGTTATACGTACAGTGGCGGATTCAGGCCTTGGCTTAAGGGCTGCACCTACCCCCAAAGACACGTTGATGAGCTGTGATGGAATATATACGTGTAAGTTTCATGCAATAGTGGTCATAGTGTATTCCCTTATCAAAACATATAATGCTGTCATCCAGTTGTTATTAAAGCACCTGCCCAGGTATTGCGATTGCGAAGGTCTTTATCTAATGACTTGGGCATCAAAAGCAAAAGTTATTAATTGGCCTTTTAACTTAATGAATGTCTCAGAGTCACTAATAGTGGCGAATATGTATATAACACATTAAAATATACATGTATAATAAGGAAAGAAGGAAGTTGTTTATTTTTGTGACATGTGCATAGTCAATTATAAATGTTGGGCATATGTGTGTCTGATTATAGATCAGACATCCCGCACACACCACCACATTCACATACATTTGTGCTAAAAGATATACTATGCACATCTTTCAGTAATATATTTTTATCACAGAAATTTATTGAAGTCTATAAAATTCTTACTAAATATGTTTTATTTAAATAAAAACACATGATACACATAATGTATAGGAATCTGCTTTCCTTATTACGGGTCAAGTAAAGTTGTGCCTGTCTTTAAAAGAAACTTGCATATATATTTTTGTAATAACACTATACATGAATATTCATACTGCCCACTTACAGTGTAAAGGATTTAAAGCACAATGTTTGTGTGAAGCCAAATTATATTTCTTTTATTTTACAAAAAAAAATCAAGTTTGTACTGTACTAAGTCGTGGCCACGAGTTACTAAGTGACATGTGTGTGTCTTTATTTATCTCGTGCGCACGAGATACTGTGTCGTGGCCACGAGTTACTAAGTCGTGGCAACGAGATAGTTAAGTCGTTGGAATGAGATACTATATCGTAGCCACGAAATACTTTTTAACGGCCACAAGTTACTAAGTCGTTTAAGTCATGGGAACTAGATAACTAAGTCGTGCAGACGAGATAATTAAATAAGAGTACACCATGATTTTTTAAACTTAGAAAATTTTTAGAAGATTTACGTGCAACATTAATCTTTGAAAATACTGAAGTGTTCACTTTAAACTTAATACATGTCTTTAGGATCATAAGGCCCATAAATCAGACATTAATTTTGACTAAGTTATATCCCTTTGTTGGGACAATTCTATGATAAAATTGGTCATTTTGTACGTACAAAGGCCTGTTAACATTGTTCATACCATAACTTGAGAGGGACTTAGTCCTGGTTTATTTTATTGGGAAGGGACATTGCCCATGGACAGTATATATCCTATAAGGATGTTTGAGGTCACAGGTCAGATAAACATGACACTTCATGTAAAATCCTTGTCTGATGAATGATTTAGAAAGAATAAGCCGTAGTTTATATAACCTAAAAAGATCAGTAGATGACACCTAATAATGTTTAGGCAATTTGGTCAGAAATCAGGGTCACAATGACGCTAAATCTTTGACCAATCAATAACTTGTATCAATGGCACTTTTACGGGCAGGTGAAGTAGGGGCATCCTTGTTAGGAAAATTCATATAAATAGTGTAATTTGATTGGTTATTTATCTCGTTCGCACGAATTAACTTTCTCGTGGCCACGAATAAACTTTCTCGTGGCCACGACATAGTAACTTGTTCCAACGACTTATTTATCTCGTGGCCACGACTTAGTAACTTGTGGCCACGACTTAGTTATCTCGTTCCCACGACTTAATTATCTCGTGGCCACGACTTAGTAACTCGTGGCCACAACATAGTATCTCGTTCCCATGACTTAACTATCTCGTGGCCACGACTTAGTAACCCGTGGCCACGACACAGTATCTCGTGCGCACGAGATAAATAAAAACACACACATGTCACCTTTGTGCCACCTTAAGTTTGATAAAATTCAATTAAATTTATCGCACACGCTCAAAAAGAAGTGTAAACAATTGTATAAGAGGTGATTTGCCACTTGTATGATGAGTTATTAGAGACATATATAAGCATTTTTTTCCACATGCTGGCGGAATCTTCAAAAACACGCACTTTTCGTCTGTCGCATCGTGTTCTCTTGTTTTTCAGTAAATTTTCATGTCAGTCCCCAACTAACACTGTTCTGTATACGCCCCTATATAAAGTGGACGTAACTTTGTTTACTCCACATGCCAAAATACGGGATCATCCGGAAAATAACGGGATGTACCGACAAAGCGACACCTGCTGTCATAATATGAACACAAATTATTGCAACTTGCATTATGCTTACTGCCAACTGCTTAGTGCGTACTGTCACATGCGACTATAATATCGCTATCGTTGTCATCTTTGTTGTCGATGCGCATTGATCATGTATTGCATTATATTTGTAATCAGTGAATATATTGAAGCATATGAATGCTAAGACACATCAAATTCGCCAATTATTGATCAAAATGAATAGTTTATTTTGACATAATGTCGACAATATAAGTGGCAGATTTATAGCAAATTAACGATACAACTACCATGTTACATATAGTTATAAAGAATGTTATCTTAAATACCAAACATAATACGTTGTCCTTTAAAAAGAGATGCAATTAAACATATAGCATAATAAAATAATTATGTGAGTTTGATGGTTTAGTAGGTTGCAATTACATGAAAGTGCATTCAGTAATCATAAGGCATGATTGAATTCAGCAAAACGCAGGTTTTCATTGTCATAAAGAAGTATAGAAGCAAGCATAATGTAAGTTCCGATATCATAAAGCAAGATGGAATAAATGCATTAATTCTGTTCCATATAACTGTCATGGTTTTAGTTTAAATATACATCCGTATTTTATTTGTCATTTAAGAACATATTTTACTTTTATGGCATTTACAATCAATACTAAAAACAGATTAGACTGGAAGCAACTTAATGCTAATTGAAGTATTATCCCATGATTATAGGAGGGTTTCCAACTGAATCATGCTGATTGCCACGTGTTTTTTTTTGTCATATCTATGTAATGAAGTTGTTCATAAGTTTTGCTACTTTGTTTGTTTCAGCAACTGTTGTTTATGACAGAATACTTCACCTGTTAGCAAAAGTGCCTCCAGATTATCAAGACTGTCTTGTAAGATTACTATTACCTTAATATATTTCTTTTCTTTGATCATGTATATTAAAGATATACTATGCTCAAATATTGATAATTGCCACACAGTGACTCTTTGTTAATAAAAGATACATGAAAACATGTTTTGACTTATTAGGAAGTAGATATGTTATGTTTATAATTCTACTCACTGTAGGTGGTCACAAGGTTAGCTTTTAAAAAAGCTAGTAGCGACTCACTTCGTAATTTTTTTCAAGGGGTGTGTTTAAATGTAAAAATGACAGTTCTGTTTGCTGAAGAGACTTCAACGAACATCAAAATAAAAGTGAAGTCAACACTTGCCCGGTGCCCGATGGCCAGTGAATATAAGTTCAGGCCAGTGTAAATTTAAGAAAATTTTGTTAATTATTTAGTAGAATAAATTCAAAACTGGAATTCGGGCCAGTAAATTCAAAATCTTAAACTCATTGACTGAAAGTGACATATAAAGTTCTCTCAGTTTAACCAAGATGAGTATGAGTATATATGAAGGTGCATGTAAACAGATAGAATGAAGAACCTATGTCTATGCACATTTACTATATGGCCTGTTGACCTTGACCACAAAATGTTAGATAGGTAGATTTCATCAAGATGTCTCTTTATACAAAATTAAGTTGTAATACATGTATGTTATTTAGTATTGGAATGAGAGGCACAAGTCCTAAAGTAAACACAAGTTGTCAATCAATTCAGCCAGAAAAGCCGGGATCCTATAAAAAAATATAGGGATCCCGGAAATTGACCAGTCTAAGAAGATGTTTTTCAGATAAGCCGGGATCCTATTAAAACATATAGGGATCCCGGGAATTGACCAGTTCAAGAATATATTTTTCAGAAAAGCCGGGATCGTATTAAAATGTAAATAGATCTTTTGTTTGTTTGTTTGTTTCATTTTTCGCCTTTATCCAACAGTATTTCAGTCATATAGGCGGGTAGTTTCCTAACCATCGTTCCTGGAGAGTTACACCAGTACTAGACTACCTTCCTCCGCGCTAAACTACCAAAGCATCTCCCGGGGATCAAACCCACGCCAGAGAGGTAACTGGATTAGAAGTCATCGACTCTAACCCCTCGACCACGGAGGCGATCGTAAAGAGATCTCACGTATTGGCCAGTTCAAGTATATAGTTTTCAGAAAAGCTGGGATCGTTTCAAAACATATAGGGATCCCGGGATTTGACCAATTCAAAAAAATAGTCTTTGATTTTTCCAATTAATTAGGCATATAATTATAAGTATTGTGATTTCCGCATTTTAAGTTTGTTAATAAATAGCTCTAAATATATCTATATTCTAAGTTAAATTAATTTAACGTTCATTATATACAATAAAAAAATTAACGTTTAATGGCCTTTCATTACGACAACAATCAACAACTATAGTTCATTAGGTTTTTCCTCCATATCTTATACGATCCCGGATCCCGGGCGTCCCGGATCCCGGCCAGTAAATACATACACTAAATACCGGAAAGGATAAAATGACCGGAAAAAAGGAAAAATAAAAAATCCACAGATACAGATGTACACTTATGTTAATTAACCAAACGAAAACTTACTACAGAGAAAACAGGTGAAATCGCTAAATCAGAAGTCAGTGTAAATGTGATTTATTGAAAAAGAATTCATAAAGACAAACATTTTAATCATCATTATATCTTTGCGCTGAAAACAATACTTGCTGATTTTTAAAAATGGCGTGAAAATTGAAAGTTTTTTGACGCTATGTAAGATTAAATTTGATTGGCTAAATAATTTTGGATCCTAGCCCTGATAGATAAATTTTGTAGAAAGCTGGAAGCCAAGCTTCGATTAAATTTTTGGATGGCTTCGGAGTTTTAGGTTGTTTCTCAGTAAAATCCTACCGTAATACCGGCTCGCCGTGGCGAGCCGGCATAATATGAATACATGTATATAATGTCATTAAAGGGATACAAAGGCAAAATTTTCATTTCTTCGTTTTGAATTTTTCATTCATTTATCTGTAAATGTCCTAAAAATAAATACACTAGGCAGTAACAGGAACAAAACTTTTCTTCCTATAAAGAATAAAATGGCGGTTTCCTAACCTGACCCGCGTGGGTCAGGTTAGAGTGTTAAAATTTCACAATAGTTGTCACAGTGAACTCTGGAAACGTTAAAGAACATGTGAAATGAATGAATAAGGTTTGTTTCAATCATACCATATCCACAATATCTGTTATTATAGTTTCCAGGGCTTGATAAAGTCACATTGCTAGTTTTACAACTTCTCAGTGATTCTGTCGGCGTCAAAATTTCGTTCAACATATTTATGGATATTTACGCTTCAAATCCAAAATATATAGAATTTTTACAGAAATTTATGCTGGGATTTTTACAAATGTCATTTTAGCGTGATTCGAGTACATAAGATAATTTTGATATTTTTGTGATAAATTCGCCTGAGTATCCCTTTAAAAAACTGGCAGTTTTTTAAAGAAAGTACCAACTTTGCTTAACCTGTAATAGGAAAGCAGCTAAACATACATAGTTTGTACATTCTTTTATTCAAATTAGACATATTCAGTTAGATTTTTTATAGATTTTAATAAATTTCTGTGATTACAATATTTTATTCATAAACGAGCATAATAAGTATGTCTTTAAAGCAAATTTTATGAAAGTTTTAGTTCATGTTTGCATTCCTAGAGGTTATAGTCCATACAAGTAGCCAAAAAAAGGCTTTTGGTCACATAAACAACTATAAAGATTAATTTTATACAAATAAAATTAATGTAGTTTATATTAAGCATCTACTTTATTTTTAACTAGAGTTTTAAGTATTGTGCTTAAAATACATTAAATCATCTACTGTGATTGAGTCAGATATAGTTCATGTAAACATATATAAATGGTTATAGTTCATGTCACAGTCTGCACCTATAAATATTTAGTTCATTTGACCACCTATTATGACGGTTATAGTTCATTGAGCCTACAATGGTTGTAGTTGTTAACCACAAAACAACTTAATGGCAGGGCTAACTTTTCTAAACACATTGTTTATGACTGTCAGTTTTTAAAAAGAAAAAATCTTGATACTTCATGGGGAATTCATTGGGGAAGTGGTTACGGTCTTTGACTTTAAATCACTTGCTCCTCGCTGTATTGTGATCTAATCCTGCCAGAGACTTTGAATTCTTTTATGTGAGGAAGCTCTCCAGCTACCTTGTCAAATCATTGGTGGTTCCACTCTGGTGCCTGTTCATGCCTGAAGTTATGAGAGACACCTGAGGTAATCCTCAGACAATAAAACTGGAATGTCACCATATGACCTTTTTGGTGTTGGTGCGAAGTAAACCAATCCAAATTAAAAAAAATAAACTCCTATAAATAATAACAAACAATAACTCAAAATGGTTTTATTAACGAATGTTTTGTTTTAAAATACATGTTTGTTTTGTTTTTCAGAGATATCTACAGTCACAAAGATTGGACAGACTGTATCCAAGAGCAGTGACCTATCTTGCAAATCCAAGGTCATTCTCACTTGACCTTGACAAAACCCCACTTGATAGTAAGTAAAAGCTTATTAAAAGTTATTATTAACATTAGTGAGTATTAAATACATTTTGCAGTGAAAAAGTTTTCAATGAAACTTTATTCCATTATGGTTGTAAATGCATTTTGGAATAGACAGTTTTTTGTAAAAAAAAGTATGCAAGTGAGCGTTTGCCATTGCCCTGTGTCTGTCATACATTTGGTGCCTTTTCTTGGCTTCTTTTCATTTATTTTTTTATCAAAATATAAGATCATGTTTTTTGCCTATATACCAGTGTACAAACACTTCAATTTACTATTGTTTGATAAAGATTTAAACATATTATAAACCATCCAAGCAAATCTTAAGATGTTATTTATAGTATATAGAGCTCTGAACGTTCCAACGTGATTACAAATTATGTAGTAGCTTTAGTATTTTATTGTTTTATAATTGAAATACAATATTTTTTACAATATAATGGATTTAACTATATTGTTGAACTCCTATTTCCCCCTATTTCAAACATATAAATTGTGCGGCAGCATGACATTGGTGTGGTTGATGCATGCTACTTATAATCTAGGGATTTTTAGCCATGTTTGTGTAAACTGTCAGTTGCAAGCCATTGTTTCCTATCTGGCAAGAAACTTTACATTCATTGCTCAGTACTTGTTGGTTTCAGGAACAGATTCGAAAGTGTGTCTTTGAACTCATTATAAGCTTCCTACACAATCAAACTAAAATGAATTCTGTATAAACTATAAACATACAGATTAATAAATGTCTCAGATGTTACACTTAATAAAGAAATAAGAAATTCTTCTCAACATAAATGCTTAAAAACTGATCATTACAGGTATAAATTTGAAACTTAAAATGAAAATGTTGGGTCACAAACAAGCTCATCTGACTGGGGGATTGACATCGTTAGAACGAACCTATATACTACATTTAATGTATACGGTAAATAGCCTGGGTTAACGAAGATTGGGGATGGGGGGGGGGGGGAGGTATGGAAGATTATTTCAACTTGTTATTGTTTATATTTCAGGTTATTTTGCTAGTGTTTCAACATTGAGTCAATTGACAACACTTGCTAGGCAGATGCATAATGATTGTGTTAACACATCTTCACATAAATATATTGCACATCAGCTAGCCCTCATGTATGTAAGTATATATGCATATTTACATCTCTTGAATCAAGTTGAGAGGTTATTCTATAAAGTAAGCTTTTTTCTAGGGAGTTCTGTAGCCAAATGTTTAATAACATAAGTCAAATACTCATTGGTTTAAGTATGCAAAGCTCGAGTTTGACGTATGCAAAGCCCAGGTTTGAGGTACTGCAAAACTTATGTCTGAAGTATGCAAAGGTCATGTTTGAAGTATGCAAAGCTCATGCCTGAGTTATGCAAAGCTTATCTGTAAAGTATGCAAAACTCATGTCTGAGGTATGCAAAGCTCAAGCAAGACTTGTATCACATGTAAAAAACATTTCAACTAATTAAACTATTGTCAGAATTACATTTTTACAATATGGTAAGTCATATTAGATAATATGATATTACGACAAAGTTGTATTACATATTTTAAGAATAGCTTTTAATATTTTGCTAAATAATAAGCAAGTTATTCTATATTTCAGCAAACCATCACTCAAATAAAAAGTCCACTGTTTGAGCAGCATAAGAAAGGGATAGAAGAAATGTTTAAACCCATCAAAGCCACGCTTGCCACCACAGACGATAAACAGATAAGATGTCTAACACAATCTCAACAAGAGTGGTATGTACTGAGTGCATAAATTATATTCTAAGTAACATTAGAAAAAATGTTATGTTCCAAAATTGTATGCATTACTGTAATGACTCGTGGTAAGAAATTTTCAAGTTTGTTGTTAAAATAAATTATTTTTTTTTAGGTTGCTTGACCTGACTAATCATATCCTGAATACAGTCAATACATTCCCGGCTGATCTTACACAAGATATGGTTCAACCAGCTTCGGTACTGCAACAAAAGTCAACATAATTTCCACTAGGGCATGGAAAAGAATGATTTCTTTACAGTTTTTATTATAAAAATTGCAGCATCAAGTCTAGCTGGAATAAAACAGACCTGGATATGTAATATTTTTTAACTTGAGCCCAGTCTAAATACTCTGATCATTGATTGGTCAATTTCTGATGCACATTTTGAATCTGACCAATGAAAATGAATTGTATGTAGACTGGTTTGTTGGATCTGACAAATACATGTGTAACAACTGATAAAATACTACAAACATTCCCATAAAAAAAGCACTTTTTTGTCCTAAAATTTTATAAATATGATATGTATCTATATCAAATGGTGTAATAGGCACCTCATTCAATAATTTTCATGTAGGTAAGAAGTCTTATTTAGTTTGTGTCAGAAATTGTTTAAACACAGAGTAAGTTCTGTTTTATATCTATAAAAGATGTAATATATAGGATATTGGGAAACATAAATTTTTGTACACCAAATTTTGGTAGTCTATAATGTAAAGAGGGTTGAATTTTAAGTTCAAAATTGTTTAAAGTACAATGTATTTTGTGAAGTACAATGTGTATTGTATAATTGTGTTTAAACAACATTCTTCATCAACGTGATGTGTGATCTTGTTGGTTTAAATAAAGAAGCTGACCTTTCTGAAGGTCGTCTAGTCATACCAGTATACATCATGTGGACACATTTGTACTATATTTTCAACCTTTACTCGTTAAAGTACTTCTTAGCTGACAATTTTAATATGTTCCGTGTCCTAGCTCCTGACCTGTTCCTTTAATGTGCTAATCTTTAGAGACGTAGCAAGATATATAATAAAGACATATTGTTGAAAACAAACAAAGGACATCACGTACGATACTAAAACCTTGTATGACAAGTCATGTGTGTACTTTTATTGTTGTACTTTTTCACCTTTATATTAAATGTCAACATTTTGGCTGAATTTATCTTGTAACATAAAAGGTGAAACAAAGATTTGCTTATAATAGTGTGGCAAGAATTAAAACCAAGGTATAAGTTTAAATTTCTGATACGGCAAGAGTTATTCCAGTGATGTTGCGATGTAAAGAAATTTCGGGAAATGGGAATTTTTTGTTGGGTTTATTTTTGGTGATTACTTTGTAGACATATATTATAGATGTTCATAATTACTTTGGGTATTTGTATAATGTAGACTTAAGGGTTATGTATTGGAAGAATAATTGATATGTTTTATTTATTGTGTTTGTATATATATACATGTATATGAGAATGTCTGTAAAAGATTTAGTCATAGAATTCAAATTTCACTTTAATTATGAAAAAGAAAGATTTGTGCTTGTTGCACAAAAGAAATAAAAGAAAGTATAGGACATAGGGACTGTTTTTCAAAGTTTCGTATTTTTGAGATTTTTTGCCAGTGTAATTTAGCTTATTTTAAAGGTCACAGAGAAATGTGCTTAAGTTGCAAATTACTGAGGTCACTCAGTGTCTGTTGTCCAACCAAACTTTTTAAACTACAGTAGAACTTTGATGTGTCTAACTTCGTTAAGTCTATTTTTGTCGATATTTTGAAGTAAAATTGAAGTCCTGATTCTTTTATCTTGTAAAACTTCGATTTGTTGAACTTTGATTAGGCCAATTTTTTTTTATATTTTGGTTTACTGATTTTTTCCAAAAAAAGGTAGGGTCGGCGGCGGGAAAAAAAAAAGTTTTCATAACTATAAATGTGGTGCATACATATACATAGTACTTACTAGAGCAATGAAATTAAATACATCGCCGATTGTCTATTCCAAAGATTGTTTAAATACACAAAAAAAACTTTTGCTCATATTGCCATTGTTTAAAAACACACATGAAATCTACACACAATGACTTATGACAAGTGGCAAGCGAGCTCTTCAAAAGAATCTAGTTGGGCAAAGTGTTTATTGGTGTATTATGAAAGAATGAACTAGCAGACGACAGGCTATTCTCGAGTAAAGATAACCGGTTACGTGTATAAATCGTAGGTAAAATAGTCTGGCATGTGGTAGGTTTAACAGTTAATTAAAATACTTACCGCAACATTTCTTTGACAAGTCGTATTATTAGCAGCGTATTTCAAGACAACACAGAATTTTTTTGGGGGCAGATTTTTTTTTCTTCATTTTCCCAAAATACAGAGTCGGCGGGTCTGTAAACCGAAATATCAAAAAATAATGGCCTTAGTCTTTTTGTTTTATGTCCTGATTTTTTCCCCCTTAACATTCTGTATTAAAATCCATGAGTCAAATTTTTATGTGTTGATTTTGTCAAAGTTTTTATGTAGTCCATAAAGAATAATTCGAGAACATTTAACCCGAATTCCGTTAATTTAACACTTTAGTCTTGAGAAATTTTTTTGGACAATTTTTATAGCCACATTAATGAGCCATCTGTTTTAACAGCCTGTTTATGCGTATATGCTCATTTCTGTGAGAATATTCCTTAATCAAATTTATTTTAATTGCTGTAGTTGTATATGAACAATTAAATTATGAATTAGTTCCGTTTGGATCTTTCCTGACCAGGTGTGGCATAATAATCTAATGGCTGTTTAAGGTATTGATGACTCAACATCTTGTCATTAAATTGATATTGATACACAAGTCAAAGTTCCAATGTCTTGAAGTTTTCATGCAAGTCCCTTTAACTTTGACATATGGAAGTTCTACTGTACTTCTTATTACATTACCAACTGGGCCAAGTTTGCATTCTGTTATTCATATGTAATTCAAGTTTGTATTTTTGTGCTAGAATAATGATAAATAAGAAATGTGTATACAAATTTGTTGTCTTCATGAAGATACTTGAATAGTGTCACACTATTAGCTTACTAGACTGAATTTAGTATTTCACTAATGTTTTTTATGTTGTGTGCTATTATCATTAATTATACCCCCACAAACACGAAGTTTATGGGGGTATATATGAGTCAGCTTGCACCATTTTCAAGTTTTCAAACCAAATTGTTTTGGTATGTATAAACATTATTATAGATAAAACTGAATTCTATTTGATGCACATTGTACTGGATGTTTATCAAAGCCTAAGTTTTGGCTCTATTTGTTTCAAGCTCTGTTTCCAGTTACGGCTCTGTTTTGTGATATTTGTTAAAAGTGCTAAAGTTATATGCATTATTTCAAATGATTTAAGAGATAAATTTATACTCTTATACCCTTTTTACCAAATATAGGGGTAGAATATATTCTATATAGCTTATAAATTCTGCCATGATAAAAATAAGGAAATGCTCCAAAAGTTTTAATGCTAAATTCAAAAGTTTTAAAGCAACTATTAATATTTTACATATCCCACCAAGGTTTATAAAAAGTATTATGTATCCTTTTTGTGTCGCCTCTACGGAGTAGTGGCGACATATAGGGATCACTTCTCCGTCGTCTGTCTGTCTGTCTGTCTGTCTGTCCGTCTGTCCGTCCGTCCGTCACAAAACTTGTCCGGACTACCCCTCATAAACTACTGGTGCAATTTCATCCAAACTTTACAGGAATGATCAGTATCAAGTCTAGTTGTGCATATTGTCAGCATTTTCCGGTTCAGTGATTTTTGTCAGAGTTATGGCCCTTTAATAATTTTTAATTTTAAAGTTTGTCCGGACTACTTCTCTTATACCACTAATGCAATTTCAATGAAAATTTACAGGAATGATCTGTAGCTCAAGTCCTTGCGCATATTGCAAGGGTTTCCCGGTTGAATGATTTTTGGCCGAGTTATGGCCCTTTGATAAAAAGATGTTTTTTTCTGTGTGTTGCCAGATACACAATAGCTTGTCCGGACTACTCCTCATAAACTACTGGTGCAATTTCATCCAAACTTTACAGGAATGATCAGTACCAAGTCTAGTTGTGCATTTTGTCAGCATTTTCCGGTTCAATGATTTTTGTCAGAGTTATGGCCCTTTAATAATTTTTATTTTTAAAGTTTGTCCGGACTAGTTCTCTTATACCACTTATGCAATTTCAATGAAACTTTACAGGATTGATCTGTAGCTCAAGTCCTTGCGCATATTGCACGGGTTTTCCGGTTGAATGATTTTTGGCTGAGTTATGGCCCTTTGATAAAAAGGTGTTTTTTTCTGTGTGTTACCACATACACAAAAGCTTGTCCGGACTACTCCTCATAAGCTACTGGTGCAATTTTATCCAAACTTTACATGATTGATCAGTACCAAGTCTAGTTGTGCACTGTCTGTCTGTCTGTCCGTCTGTCACAAAATTTGTCCCAACATGAAATTGGCCATTATGAGGCGACACATGTGATTACTGATCGCTCTTGTTATTATCATTTTATCATTTGATAAGAATATCACATTAAGCATAATATTTATTGAACTTGTGTAAACTTTTTATCATAATGATTGTTTATTTGTTCATCTTTTGTTCTACATAATCATGATACATTATCAAGAAAGTGATCTATTTTGCCAAAGATGGAATTCTGTACATGCTGTAAGGTAACTACTTAATTCAAAATTATCATTCAAAATTGTAATTGTGTGCTTGAATCATTTATTACACATAGGTTAAGACTTAGATATGTTATCATTTTGATCATTGTTTCATTGATGTTTATTAAAAGGCATATTTAAAAGTACATTAATATTCAGAAATGACAACAACTTATATTCTCTAAAAAAACAGGACACTAAAATATGTAAATTTTAGCTTGACTTTGAGAGAATAGGGATTGTTTTACTATCAAGCACTGTGAATGGTCGAGCCTACTGTTAGAACTGAAATAAAATCAATGTTTAGGTCTAATGTGCCCTTATGTTTCCTCATATTATATTTATTTAACTCTTACCATGTTAAATCTAAGAAATACACCTGCCCATTCAATCGCGACAAAACCATTCATCATTTTTAGGGAATGTACTGATTGAATAGCGAGCAGTGCAGACCATGATTAGATGGCACAGATGTGCTGGCTGATCTTGGTCTGCCATGATTGCTTGTGTATATTTAGTCGCTGCTAGCAGGCCTAATGGTTTTTTGATCATGATATGATTTTGTTTTGTATTTATGTTTTGTTTTCGTTGCTCATATTTTGTTTGTGCCATTTTTATTTTCTATAGAAACAAGTAGTAATTTTAATACTCAAGCCATTCTTCTAATCAAATACACTGTTATTATACAAGAATATTCTCAGTTGCAAATAAATCTTAATTCTCCACCCAGCTGAAACCAAATGTGATTAGGTTTTGCCAACAGTATATAGCCAGGTCAGCCTGTGCATATGTGCTGTCTGACCAAGCTCTACTATATACTGTTAGCTAACTAAACTGACTTCAATTTTTTATCCTGATATCAAATCATGAAATTAATTTAAATTTTATAATTGGATTGTTGAAAAGATGGAAGCTTGACAAGTCTAAGTCTATTTTGTTGGTTAAATAAAGTGCTTTAAATAACATATGACTTGTAAACATTATACCAGCATTTTTTAGAAAATAAAAAATCTTGTTTTCTTGTTACAAATAATTGTTTAGCTGCATTCTGATTCCCTTACAATTTAATACAGTGTTTTGATGAGTATTATTTTTTTTCAGTGAAAATACAAAAACCTATGTTTCAGAAATGAAAATAATTGTGTATGAGACTGATTTTTGTAAAATGACACTGTGACCTTGAGTACTTGGTTAATTGGTTTCTCTTTGCTATTTGTTATTTTTGATATTTTCCTTACATTCTTAGTTGAAAAGTACCTTTAACAAGATAAAACTTTAAACAAAACATGTGCAATGAATATAAGTGTCCCGAGTTAATGTGCAATTTTATTCAAATTTAGTTTAATGCAGCCTTCAGCTTTTCTAAATGATAAATTGTTTCATATAATTGTCAAGTTTTAAAAAAGAATTAAGGTGAAAAATTAATTTTGATGACAATTTAATACATAAACAATATTGAAACCCCTCTATACTTCTAATCTACCAGTTTAGATTAGTAAAGTATATAATTCATTCCCCAATCTTCTATTTTTAGAAACAAACTATTTTTAGAAACAAACGTCACTGATGAGTTATAAATAGCTCTTGGGATGCTGTTTTGAGTGATCTGATGCACTTTTCCATAATAAAATTACTGAAAATCCTAATAGTTTGAAATAACACATATATATAATTGTTCTGCCATAATAATAGCTGAAGGCAACTTTAATGTAATCATAATTTTGTTATACCTCTGTGCCGTCCATCTAGTATATCTACCGACCCCAGAAGCATACTCGCTTATCATTTAGTCAAAAGTTTATATTTTTGAAAATTGTACGGTTAATACACTCTAATAGTTTTGGATTATAAAATATTGTCTATAAACATGATTGTATGGACAGCTTTTAATGTAATCTCAATATTAAAAGGAAAACGTTTTTGGGATGGTTTTGTATTGATTTTACAAAATTACTCTTGTGAAATGTATCAATATAATATTTTTGTAGAAACATTGATTTTTTTGTCATACAGATCATTTTTAGCTTGACTATTCGAAGAATATGAGAGCTATTGTAGTCGCCCCGGCGTCAGCGTCCGCGTCTGCGTTGGTTAAAGTTTTTTGTAAAGTCAAATATCTCAATTATTACTTGAGATATTCAATTGAAATTTACAATACTTATTTATAGTAACAAGGTACATCAGATTGACAAGTTGGATAACTCTGCCTACAATATTGACAGAATTATGCCCCTTTTTTAACTTAGAAATTTTGGTTAAAGTTTTTTGTAAAGTCAAATATCTCAATTATTGCTTGAGATATTCAATTGAAACTTACAATACTTATTTATAGTAACAAGGTACATCAGATTGACAAGTTGGATAACTCTGCCTACAATATTGACAGAATTATGCCCCTTTTTAACTTAGAAATTTTGGTTAAAGTTTTTTGTAAAGTCAAATATCTCAATTATTGCTTGAGATATTCAATTGAAACTTACAATACTTATTTATAGTAACAAGGTACATCAGATTGACAAGTTGGATAATTCTGCCTACAATATTGACAGTATTATGCCCCTTTGGATCTTAGAAATTTTGGTTAAAGTTTTTTTGTAAAGTCAAATATCTCGATTATCGCTTGAGATATTAAATTGAAATTTAAAATACTTTTTTATAGTAACAATGTACATCAGTTTGCAAAATTGCATAACTCTGCCTGCAATATTTGCAGAATTATTTGCCCCTTTGAAACTTAGAAATTTTGGTTTAAGGTTAAAGGTCTTCAAAGATATTTACTTGAAACTTTACACATGCACTAAGGGTCATAATTGGAGGGTCATAATTGTATGTCACTGACCAAGTTCCATAACTCTATCTTGCATTAAGGCTGATTCATATCCCCTTTTCTACTTAGTCTCTTGGTTAATGTTTACAAGCAAGTTTTACATATCTCAATAACTATTAAAGATATTTATTTAAAACTTCACATGCATTTAGGGTCATAATTGTAGGTCACTGACAAACATCCATAATTCTATCTTGCATTTAGGCTGATTTTTCTCCCCTTTATAAACTTATAAATTCATGGTAAAGTTTTGCTTGTAAGCTGTTATTTCAATAACTAATGAAGGGTTTTACCTTCCGAATAGTCAAGCCAATACTGTATAATTAGACTCTCTCTAAGGCCTATAACATGAATTTATAAAAAAAAATTAGCCCTTTTGTGAACTTAAAAAATTTAACATTATCAAGGCTCTTTTACTATCAAGCACTTAGAATAGTCGAGCATGCTGTGTCCTACCGACAGCTCTTGTTACAGGTGTGGTTGATGCAAAAATACTGAATCTCTTAATTTTATTTGTTTTTCTGGTTTGTATCCCAAGTTTTACACATTCTTTTGGTCATATCTCAACCGTCCTTCCACCTATTATCTTCCCTGAATAACTTACCAGTAATTACCAATTACTCCACAAGTGACAGCCTAGAAATTATGACCACACAATTTTGATATAGTTGTGAGAGACAAATGATTTTTAGACAAAATGTCCAAAGATCAATTCGTCACAGAGAAATTCTGTCTTGCTCAAGGATCAAACCTGACCAACCCCTGGTTTACTATTCTGTCTGGATGCTCTCCCTATTGAGCTAAATGGGGGACCTTTCTTTGATTATAGGCACCTTATACTTTCTTCAGTGTGTAAATAGGAAGTAATCTGTTCTCTAAAATTATAGAATTTTATTTATACCTAGAAATATATGCCACAACATTATAGATTTGATTAATACCAGTACACATTTAATATAAAAATCTGTTCTTTAGAATGAATAGCTAGAAATCTAGGATTTTGAATTATAAAATGGCTAGAAATATAATATGCTTTTGTAATTCTAGAATGGGTAAATTATTAGAAATCTTATTTAGACTTTTAAATTATAGACTAGGAAAACAGGTAGAAATCTATGCTTTCTTAGTCTAGAACAGGGTTAATAATTAGAAATCTAGGCTTTTCAATTCAGGTAGAAATCTTGGCTTTCTATTTTTAAAATGGGTAAATAATTAGAAATAATTATGGGCATTTAAATGATAGAATGGCTAAACAGGAAAAAATCTTGGCTTTCTATTTCTAGAATAGGTAAATAATTAGAAATATGTGCTTTTTAATTATAGAATTGGGCTTAACAGTACATTTTGTAGATAACTTAAACTGAATCTCTGTTTAGTTTGATCATCTAAAGACATATCCTGCTATTAAATGGGCTTGTCCAGCTTCCATTCTGGAACTATCTATTATATCTATTTTTGGGGATATCAAGATGAAAACTTTAAATTGGTCAGCCTACAATATACAGTTAATTCAGAAAGCACAGATGTACATGCTGGCCTGGCTACATACTGGTTGCATAAACTTATGTCAGGCAGATTAAAGGTTAGGAAAATAATCTCATAAATATAATCCACTTCACCTGGTCATCTTAAAAATATAGTCAAATATATTCACTCAATTAATACTTTCATAAACAAATAGTAAAGGGATGTAAATTGAAATGTACTTTTAAAGTGGATTGGTCTACAATTAGCATATTTTTCGTAAGTATTTTAAAAATTGGTAAAAACTATAGAAATATATTATTTCAATATTCGATCTTAGGAAATATTTTCTGGAAAACATAATGTTGATTGTTCTTATGTGATTTTTGTAAGAACAAAGTTATGATGAATTATAATATTTTGTTCTAAAACAATTTATTATCTGCAATATCTGTTTATATGTCATAATTATTAGATCATGTATCCAACACATACCGAGTTTCCTTTGCAGTTTGTTTACACATGTGATAGTTGATACTGAATAATACCAACATAATTACATATGGTATTAAAGGTCTTCTATTGATAGATCCCTATTCTGACCTTTTATTTGATTAACAATAGATTTAACCACAGACATTGACATGTGCTCTTTTGTTAAAACGGAGGTTGTGGTGATATTCCTATTGTATCCACTAAACAGATTAATAATATCTGTCATATGTTGCGGTTCGGACCGGAATATCCGTCCCGAGGTGACCCGCCCATGGGCGGGTAACCTAGGGACGGATATTCCGATTCGAACCGCAAACATATGTCAGATATTTTTTCTTGCATATTCTACAATATTTCATTATATTTTAAATTAGTTATCATTATTTTCAACGGAAATAATTTATATCATTACAGCCGTAACTATTTTCTTACAACAGCGTATGAAATTGCAACTTCATTCATAACGATAAAATGACGTCATCCTGAGCGTGCCATTGTACAGCACGCGACTCATCTGGCACCCCCCCATGCCAGATGAAATTTCCGGCATGGGTAAGACACACGGAAACGCCAGTCTGCTTTGCAAGAAACATTAATTGTAATTATAACACAGGAACTTGAAATTCTATCAATATTAATGATAATATCCAAAATATACCCCCTATACAGTACAGTATAAATAAACCTATTTATACTGTTTAGGGGCTATATTTTGGATATTATCATTAATATTGATAGAATTTCAAGTTCCTTTGAATTATAATTAGAGAGGTCAAGGATCTATGCATTACAGACCAATTCACTTTAAAATATAGAAATAAGGTTCTGTTTATTATTAAGACACACCAATACAGTGACTTTATCATCTGATATATTGTAACTCATCGCCATATTCATGTTAAAAATGCCTAATAGATCTCTCTTATTAGAACATCATGGTTTGTAAATATACATGTCATAAATATTTTTATTGAAGTGTGCAATAAAAAAATGAATAGTATATTATTGATGTTGCTTTTTATGTTTCTAAAAACAATGAAAATGGGTCCACCATTTACTCATTTTTCTTGAATTTCGCCAAAGTACTTCACATGTACATCACGTTTTTAAATAGTTCAATACAATGATGAAAACAAAACTACCGAATGTTAAGAAATAATTTTTTGTATAAATGTAGTGGTTCTTGCCCTAAAGAAATATACTGATGTTTAAGCGGGTGAAATATAGGACGTTTTAAGATTATGTTCAATGGACAAGTAAAGGCTGCTCAAATAAATCTATCTAATTGCATCTGTGTGTCAAAGTATCCAAAAAGACACTTGGAGTGTGGAGCTCAAAACGCATTTAAATTCCAAATAAAATATATAGAGTTGAAATATGATTTTTTTCAAAACGGCTTATTTTAAGTGTTTATATATATATATGATAAGAACATGTGCTGGGATTGACAAATATACATTTTATTTGGAATTTAAATGCGTTTTGAGCTACATAACCCAAGTGTCTGTGACATAGATGATTAAGCTTTTTGGATACTTAGACAGATAAATTAATATGAGCAGTTTTTACTTGTCCACTTAGAAAGTGTCTGTGATCTTTATAAATTTGCCATACCATTATACGTTTACCATTTAAAAGTACATTTAAGTATTGTTGTAAGAATGATTTTATTGTTATAACATTATCATTGCAAATGTTTTTCCAGATGTATATTCTTCAAAATAACAGGGGTCAAGTTAGTTCAATTAATATATTAGACGTAATCGGCTTTATAGTTTATGATGGTCATGCTTCAGCCAAGCAGTAAAATATCTCAAAGCAACGTTTATAAGACTTGCGTCAAATGACATATGTCATAGCGTACTTCAAGGCAAACTGATACGTTCATGTACTTACCTCATTCCTATATAAACTACGTATTTCTTTTATTTATTTTATCGACTGCTAATTGACTTGTGATAAACTCTCGTGATACTTCAAGGGATGGTGCGTTTTGAATCTATTCGTTAATATGTATTTTTGATATGATACCCGGTACAGCACAGACACGTGTTTCTAGTTCTTGGTGGATATGTACCTGTTTAACTTTGACATCTGCAGAAGCATATGATGACGCATTTAAAGCAAATGCTTCGGCAGATGTTAATTAGCATAGTCACTTGGTTTTGGGATATAAACCCTTTTCAGAGGTTTGTAGAACTCAAATTTAATTGAATGTAACGATTTTTTAACGTAGATGTCTCGATTTAAAAAAAAACGTCAATCGTCCGATGTTTCTAAAAAACACTAGTGACAAGGGGGTCATACCATGCGCGCGAATCCTCAAAAATCTGATACCACGAACGAACAGTTTTTCAACCTGTATTTTGAACAAAACCGAGTCATGTAAAGCAATCAGAATAGATTTGAATTAATTTCTTTTGCAAAGAAGATGTCCTTACTTCTAGTTTTATTTTAATATTCCAAATGCCTTGACACAAGTTCTCCTCAGTATTTCGCGTAAAATGCGATTTTGATTCTGGATACTGCGTACACCCGGTTACAGAAATTGAGAAATTATCGATTAAACTGATAGTTTCACACAGCTGGAAGTTATTTTATTGTAGAATCCGTTTCATAAATATATTTTCAATCTTTGTTATTTTTATGTACGAAAAATGTCTTAAGCCCATGCTGCTTATATTTATTTTGACGTCACGTCATTTTCGTTATATGAACTGAGTGTTATACTATAGGTGAGTCAATAAATCATGGTTCTTTTTCACTTCAAAAGGTCTTCATTTTTGGTATATGGTAATTAGGATATTAAAGTCGTGTAAGTTTAATACTAAATTTATTGAACACGTTGAATAAAATAATATGTTCGCCAGAGGCTCGCATCATATAATTTTTTTTTCAACTCGTTCAAGAAATTTCAGTATTTAACTTACATGTTCATCACATACCCGTGTCGCTTTTGCGTCTCCGTAAAAATGGTATTGCACGGTCGTGTTTATATAACGCATATGGCGTCACGTCAATATATTTTCACGGCAATACAGTTCCATTTTATACGGAGACGCAAAAGCAGCATGGGTATGTGATAAACAGAGTATATTGAATGAGTGCATCAACCGACTTAAAAAGCCTTTAAAGAACGTTGATATTAGAAACACTGAGGCGAGAACAAATTTAACCAATACCAATATTGTCCAACTATAGTTTTTCTTGACATGCACATCTAAACTTTATACCGTGTTATATTATAGCATGTACAGTTCACTCAAAATCAAGATATATTTGCTTGTTTAACCATTCTTAATTTTATTGTCTGACCTTACTTTATACACGATTCTAATCATACGAGTTTTAACAACTTGTTTGCCTAAGAGCATTAAGGCCGTTTTACGATACGAATTGTCCATAGAAACGGATGTTGCATTCCGTGCGCATTCTGCGTAGTGCAAAAGTTATTAGCGAGCTCGACGAGCTGGCCCGAAGGGCCTGCTCGCAAAGCGAGCTTTACGGTAACGCGAGTACCTGCTAAGTGATGGTTTTAAAAACTTTCGTCCGAAGTACCGAATTAGACACATCGCAACTTTTCGAATTTAAAGATAAGGATAAAAACTGAGGAATTCTGACTGAAAACGGATGTGTAGACTGGTCACCCGCGCACGTCTATGGTAACCATAATTGGACATGGAACCAAAATAACGGAAGCTGTGTATAAAATATCGAATGACAGTTTTAAAACGGAAAATGTAAAATGAAAATTGAAGACGCCATTTTGTTTGAAAAATCTGATAAATAAAAACATTTTTTTGTCGAATTTCGTTGTGAAAACTATCTAGAATGAAAGAAAATGGTCTAACTAAGAAAATGAATCCGAACACCAATATCTTTTATTCAGTCGTTAACGCTGAACAGACGTTTAAAGTATTGTTTACGTGACGTCACAATGTAGCGCCAAACAGCACGTGCAAAACAATCAAATCAAGTACGCCATTTAAATGTCGCAAACGATTTAAGTTTTACATTTATTTCACTTTATTTAATAATTTAATTAGTTTAATTTATTTAATAATCTTTATTTCGCTTGAAAAATTATAGAGTGAAATAAAATAAACAAACAAAGTTTTATCAACGTTTTCAAAACTCGTTATTCATTTAACGACAGGGGCGGAGCCATATTTAACACAGTACGTGTGACGTCACACGCACTAGTCACTGCATTTGAAATAAAAATGAGCGATTATTTCATACTATTTCACGTTAAAAGTACATCGAGCTCGCTTTGAGGCTTTGCCATTTTCATATTAAGGAAGAATATTTCGGTATTCGCCGAAGAATTCTCGACAAAATCGGCATACATGCATTTATCAATTCATTGAGAAGTTGCAGCACTTTGAAATCAGTTTACAATGCAAAATAGTGATTTTTGGCAATTTTGAGACGTCCCCCGTTGCCATGGTAACATGAAATTTACGATTGAGCTTGCTGTTACTGAGGCTATGGTCTAGTCAACATTTGTGCCAAGTTTCATCAGTATTGAAGCATTTTTCATAGTTTCATAGCAGTTTGAACTTGTTACAGGAGGCTTTTCAATGGAAACGGCCATATTTCGCAATATGCTCATGGGTGAGCTATACATTCGACTGTCAAAAGATAGTTATTTTAAAGTGCAGTGTACGAAAAAATGATCAGTTTAAAGTGTTTCATAAATGAGTAAACAAATTTAATGAAAACTATTAAAACTCAAACCGTTTTTGGATGTAAATTTTAAACATTTTAAGGGAGCATACTTAATCACAGGATTTGAATCTTATCTTTTATTTTAATAAATATCTTTTATTATTGTTTTGTTCGCCAGTATTATCAATTTCATCCCGTTATGAACTTAGACTGCTTTGAAGAAAGTGTAGGCAGAATCAATAACATGTAAATGTGTACGCAGCATCTTGATTTTTTAGAATGTACGCAGTATCATAAAGTCTATTTCCTGTAAATATTTCGTTTCAAGACATTTTTCGCACAAAGGAAAAATAACTAAGATTGAAAATATATTTGTGAAATAGACTCTACAATAAATTTACTTCAAGTTATGTGAAACTTTCAGTTTAATCGACAATTTCTCAATTTCTGTAACATTTCAACGCGGGTGTACGCATGCAGTATTCAGAATCAAAATCGCATTCAACGCGAACTACTGACGAGAAAGACTTGTGTCAGGGCATTCGGAATACTAAAACTAGAAGTAAGGAAATCTTCTTTGCAAACGAAATTAAATTCAAATCTATTCTGATTGATTTACATGACTCGTTTTTTGTTCGAAATACCGGTTGAATAAGAAAAAGTGTTCGCGGTATCAGAATTTTGAGGATGAGCGCGCATGGTATGACCCCCTTGAGTAATACCATTCCGCGGCTCTACCGACTGAGCTATCCGGCCGCTTACACATTATTACCCTGATAGTGAACAGTTTTGAACCGTGACAAGTGGTATGCGAATAAGAAATATAAAAATAACGTGAAGGAATCTAAATTTACGAGCATCTTTTTATTCAATATTTAACATGTTATATATTATACAGACATTTTACATTCAAGATATAATGATTTCTCGACTCACAGTTACGTTTAAAATAAAATATTACTACATGTTCCTATAACAGAAGAAAACAGATACCAAATTTTAAGTATTCAGGTACAGAAATACGCATTAAAGCTGCATGCCTCCAGATGAACCAAGAAAATAAAACTTGAGAAAAATAAAGGGCCTACTGAGATTTTAAGAAAATAAAAAAAGATTCAAGATTATATTAATACATTTACATGTTATGCGCGATTTATGACTGATCTTGCAGTATTTATCACCATATTTATTTTATGCCTCTATAGATAATGCCTTAAGGGCAAATTTTGCGTAAATTGCGACACCTTTTATAAGGCTTTTACGTGGATTAATTGTAAGAGTAAATTACTTCTTTTGTTCACTTCACAATAATTTCACAATAATTCACTT